AAAAATTTTGATTCTAAATTTACTTTCGTTTCTATAATCTCGCAGAAGAAGAAACCCAGGCACGAGGAAAGAAAAGAAAGCACGACGGTTAAAAAGTGCTTTATAATGGCGACGCATCATCGTAGCATTTGTTTACAAAACTCCAATTAACGTTTTTTCTACTATTTTAATTTAACAAAACAAAAATGATACATTTAAACAGAAACAACAACAAACATTTCCCTATCAGTTTATATATCTATTAAAGAAAAGCGCAAACAAAACAAACAGAAAAAGTATACATAGATCAAGTAATACAATAAATATTGTAAACACACACCCATTAATATTATTAAAAACACTAAAGTTTTGCAAGAAATAGCAACAGCCACACACACACTACTACCGCAACAAATCTATAAGGATAACAGCCAACTAAATTCAGACCAACATATACTTACATTGAAGCACTTTGGTGGCGCAAAAAATATATAGGTATAAAGCAGGGGCAGCCAAGCAAACTAACGATAATGCCGAGCGCACCAAGTAATCCATCGAAAAGCAGTTATGAGATGATAAAATTAAAAGGAGTTAGATTTTTAAGATTGGAAAGAGTAGAAAAACATCGGCATGGCGCAAAACATCTGAGTTAGTAAGAAAAGAGTACATAATAATTACATAAAGGTTATAATAGCGATTATTTTAAGCATGGCCTATATAAGGAAGAAAAATACATGTATAAAAAATTTAAGCAAAACGTGCAACAACTGCTTAAAAGGGAGATTTTATGATGTGCAACTGGAAACACCAACTACCGTATATACTCGTAAGGCGTCAGCAAATGTCGAAAGCGCAATTTGTATTGCGTTCGCAAACAAATAATTAATGATTGTGTGTTGGCGCCTCAAACCTTTTAATGCAAAAAAATCAAGTGAAAGTAAATCAAAAAATATCCGGGCAACAAATACCATCAGCCGACCTACATATTAATAAAAAAAAAAAATTGTTTATTGTTTAGTAGCATTAATTAGTTACTTATACAGTAAGTTTATTAATATACATACCAACAACACGCAGCGGAAGGCATAAACGCTACTTTCTTAAGAGATGTTTTCAAAGTTTTCATTTGTGACACAACGCATAGGACTTCTTATATACATATACACTCGTGCATACAAATTATTGTTCTTTTGCATTGATTAAATATTCATTGATTTATGCAACCTAACAGCCAGTGTGCATTGTGTATCTTAAAATTGTAAAACTTCGCACATTTATTACAAGATCCCGGTTATATTTTTGGTCTATTTACAATACATAATTTTTGAAAATTGCGATTGATTTTTTAATTGTTCAGCACGAATTTTTTTTTCCATCAAGACTTTCTTTTCCGTTACCACAATTTCTTTTCGCAACCTTAAGCCCTACCATATTAATATTTTTATTTTTAACCTCCATTCCTGCCACTATATCCTTTGCATCCGCTGGCACATTTTCTAAAGTGCTGAAGTTGATGTTGAAACCAAGCATATGCAAGTACTAATTTTATACTCTTAAGACATTTTCATATAGCAATGAGAGAATTTTCGACACAGGACAAACTGTATTATTTGACCGAAATAAAAAATAAAGTCATTTTAAATAAAGTTTGTTTTACTTGAGAGCGAGATGGATAAATTCGATAATGTGGAGTCAGTCAAGGAAGTTATACATACAAGACTGAGCTGTGTTCAGAAATACATCAGGCCAAAGTACAGTCTCTCATTTCTAAACTATAATTGATGGCCGCTGTGGTGTAGTGGTAAGCAGTGCGCGCTTCCACTCCGCAGCACCTGGGTTCAAACCCTGGTCAAAGCAACATCGCAAAAAATAAAAAAAGGGTCAGCGGTCGTCCCTCGGCAGGCAATGGCAAACGTCCGAGTGTTTTTCATGCCATAACAATACCAGGCGTCCATCACTGCGTCTTAAAAGTATTTTAGTGTTTACTCCCGCAAGACTTTATGGTCTCATTCATAAAGGCTGCATTTCTTTATTCATTCTGAATGTTTGGAATAAACTTTTTTGTTTATTTATTCTTTAGAACGTTCCTGATGATATGTTGGCGTATATTTCAAACGCATTCTGTTTATTCCGGCTGTGAAATGGGATTATCCGGAATGTATAAAGAAACGCAGCCAAAAAATAAAATAAATAAAGAGCTTTGTGAAGTGAGCTTTTCCAAATATAGTAAATATATTTTCGAAGGTACTTAGAAATTAGGTTAAATATCAGCTTTCTCCTCGAAATTTAATTTATACATTTTAAACTCGAGTATTTATATCAGTCAGGTGGCAACCCTCCTTAAAAATATATTCGGCAGTAAACTTTCCTGTTGTAGCAGCATACAAATTCCCCCAGAGTTTTTGGGGAGTGTTGCTGCAGTGAGACAAAGTCCTTGACAAGATATAAATCTGGGTCGTTCCGGTTACGTAGAACCTAGTGTTGTGTGAACTAGTAAACTTTCCTAAACCTCTCTGTTCTGATACCCATATTGCAATATTTAATTAAACTGAAATTTTCAAACAGGTGGCAACTCCAATTTTTTATTTTGTTCTTTTCGAGTGATGCGAATTTTATAATTAAATCCAGTTATGAAAAACAATTTATATTACTTGCTTTAACAAAAACAGAGAATCTGCATGCTTATTTGCATAACGAAGTTAGTTATATGTAGAGCCCCCAATCCTCACAAAATCATTGCGCGGTACTTTTTGCGGTCTGCACGTGCGGAATTTCGCATGCGTCGTCACGCAAGCGAGATTTTCCAGCACAGGAGGACGGCCGGTAAAATAATGGTGCTTGTGATGTATCAGCTGACGAACCCGCTTTCGCAAACTCAACTTTTTCTCAAAACCAGCTACAAATACAATGTCGCGTTCTTGTATTTTATGCGCGTACATTTTTCTTACCGGCCCTCTTCACTTGCTGGAAAATCCCGCTTGCGTGATGACGCATGCGAGATCCCGCAGTTATAGACTGTTGAGGGTAGAGACGGGCACGGGACTAAATATTTAATCCCGACCCCGACCGTCCCGAAATTCGATTTTTAAGTTCCGAACCCGCCCATCCCGACATTTTTCAGAATTGTACCGCGGGTCCCGTGGGCCCCGATATCTATCTCTAAAGCAGGCTACACACGGACAACAAATTGAAACGAGCGGTTGAGATTTCAACGTGTGTTTCACAACAATGTTCATGTCTTTCATATTAATTTTAAATAATAATGAAAGATATGTCATCTTCCTATAATTTTTTTTCTTTTTCGTCTCAATAAAATATTAAAAGTGCATATTTCAAACATCTTTTTTAAGGAAGATTTTGTGAATTTGCAGGGGTTGCGGTTTTATCGGGAGTGTCGGGAAAGGATTTTGGTCCCGTCCCGCCCGCCATATTTTCACAGATGTTCCCGATACCGCCCATCCCGGCCAATTTTAAATCAGTACCGTGGGTTCGCGGGATCCGCTATCCCGCTCCCATCTCTAGTTTAGGGCAAGGAGAATTTAATAAGGTGGGGTTACCGGTGAATCTGAATTTTTCGCCGTTAAAAGCATTATGTCAAAATGATGGGTTAGTTGTAATTCATACCAATGACAGTAGGAATATCGGAGTATAATTTGTTAGTGTAATTTTTTACTTATATACGGCTACCATCACCTTAGTAAATTCGCTCTGTACTGTTTTTTGCAGTATTGCACAAGGCGAATATATACAAGGTGGTGTTACTGGTGAATTTAGACTTTCGCTGCGGTCCTCCTGAATGTCAAAATTATGTGTTTGTGGTAAACAAGGCGAATTCATATTACAACAAACACACCATTTTGACATTCAGAAGGACAGCGTCGAAAATCTAAATTCGCCAGTAACACCACCCTGTATAAATTCGTCTTGGTATTGGATTTACGAACTGGCGCAAACTTATACTAGGCAAGGGCAATTTATACAAGGTGGCGAATTTATATTACAACAACGACAACCATATATATTTTGTATGGAGGATGTTATGTCAAATCTCAATTCCCCCCAAAGTTTACAAGTATTTTATTTTTGCTCTTGATGGGTGTGCTGTCAAATCAGTAAAAGCAAAAGCATAGTACATTTAAGGCGAAGAAATCAGCTGATTTTACAACACCACCTTGTATAAATTCGCCTTGATACTAGGTTTACTTATAAGTAGATTATCTTAATTTTTGAGCTTAACTTCCTAATCTGTTATTAGAAAAAGATTGTAGCCACGCAAAATTCGTTCTGGCAATACTTTACCTTCAAAGTCTCCACACATCGCTTTTTCTACAAAAGCTTATCACTGACAGCTGCGCTCTTCTCCCATTGCAACTTTTACTGTTTTTGTCTTTTCGCACTAGTATTGCCATTTCCACAAAATTCTACCAAATTTTACAGAATAATTCCATATCCCAACAACATTTTTATTCATCACAGCTTGGAAATCAAATTCACAAAAATAATCAAAATAGTTCATCTAATGCAGGACGGTGCAGGTCGCGGGCGCCTATATATATATATATATATATATATATAGTGATACAACGAATTTTGTTAGTTTAGCCACTTGTATGAATTTTATTACTAAATAAAGGTTTTTATAGGGATAATTTAAGACTGAAGTTAACAACAAGCGATCTGAAAATATGATATTGAGTTATAAAGGAAAATTCGTGCGAGATGGTGTACCACAGCAACTAATTTTACGGCGAAATCGTTCTGATTATTAAAATGATGTGTTTGTTGTACATTTTCCGAGCTCTGATTGTCACAGTTCGTATTATTTTTTAGTGCAGTTTCTTGCTGTTGTGCCTCCGCCATCAATTTGTTTGAATTTCCCTTGTGCACTTACCTTCTTTCTTATTTGGAAAATGTTCTTCACAGAATATGGTTTCGGGAGATTTTCGAGGGTCATTTTGGTGAAAAAAACTGCGACTCGGCAACCGTGCTCTGCACTCAGTTTGAACAACAGCAGCCTCAAAAATCTTATTGGAATTTTAGTTCACCGCTCGAATCGAATTCATTCACTTGTTTATTGTCTTGCATTCGCACGCGTCCGCGAAATTTCAACGCCATTAATTCTACTATTTAATTTCTTCTGTTTTGTTTTGGTGGTTGGTGCCACTGTGAGCACAGGATTTTTATTTACCTGAAATAAAATTGACACGAACGTGGCATAAACAATAACAAAAGCAAGTGTTTGCAAAATCTCTGAAAGTGCACTTCTCGAAAGGTTTTACGATATCCATTTCGACGCATATTTTGTGGTGGGCGTGGATTTAGCGCATATTGCAGCTCGAAATTTACAAAAACAAGTGCCAAATTACAACATTTTCAAACAAGACGAAGGTAGTTTTTGAAAATTCCTTGCGTTTCTTATTCGACAGTGTATTGTTGTACATACAGCAATATCGAAATTGTAAAATAAATTAGTTCGGAGAAAAAGATTCCAGAGTTTTGCATTAAACAGTGACAGAAAGTCTTAAATTTTGTGGACACTATAGTTCATGACCGAAAATAAGGGAACCATGCTGGCGAAATCCGTACAAAAACACGCTGGACGTGCCAAGGAAAAGGTGAGTACCCGACGTTCGCATAAAGTGTGCAATGCGTACATTTGCAATAAGAATGAAATAAGACAAATCAACGTCAAACAAGATAATTTTTTACTTTTTCGATGCAATTTATACGAAAGCAGTGCAGTGACCGGGTCCCTTCCAGTGGCATATCCTTGACCTGCCGCATAGTCAACAAACTACTCCAAATAAATACATATACATATATATATACATATGTACATAAATATGTATGCACTTTGAAAGTTTTTAGTGCTGGAGAAGTAAACAATTTGCAATGGCTTGCTGCACGAAATCGTTGGTCGGCAAGCTGGAAGCAGTGAAGAAATCGCTTTGGCTGTGATATGCGCACCTTGCGTTTCTTTGTCAGATGTTTATTGTAAATACATATGCAGATATGCATGCATAGTTACGGTCAAAATAATAGCAGCAAGATTCAAAATGATGCTGTTAATAATTCTCATTTAAAATATGGGTCGACCACTGCCGGAACAAAGTATTGGCACGTAAGTGCTGCAGTGCGTCAAGAGCACTATACACTACTAAACAAAATTAAAGTTAAATAAAGAGGCTATAAAGCAACCATTTTGGTTCCTTACTATCGAAATCAAGTAAATTTTCGTGGACCCCCTCTTACAACTCATAGACCCCCATATTTTTTGCACGCCAACGTAGACCCCGTCCAGCCTCCCGTGGACCCCTGAAGGTCCACCTGGACCACTTTGGGAATCACTCCTCTTGATGGTACATAAATTTGATTCAGATGTATTTTGTAAGATATTTAGAGGTTTTACAAGATGTGTTAAGCGTCGTTATGTTTTAAATTATAAAAATGTTTTCTATGTAAAATAACCGTTAAAATTAGTAGGAGTTAATTATATCTACTCAGTTTAAAATCGTTTCGGTGTAGTTTCAACTTTCATCTAAAACCATCGTAACAAGTA